TACATACCGCAGTTCACACACACTTTGTCCCATGACATGGATCACAATTTACCACAATGCAACAGCTCCCCTTCCACTTCCTCCTGATAGTCACCTCTTCCCTGTGTCCATCCCTCCATGCTCTCCTGCCCCCTGAGCTGTCTCCCTGTCCCTACACAGCCCTTCTATTCTCCCATGATCGATCTCTCCAAGGAGTGTATCTACCTAATGTAAATGTTCAGCTCATATGCCTGTCTTTTGCTTCGCTGGAAGCCACAGGTGTGGGTTCAATTCCAGACCTGAAGGGCAGCTAGGGACCACAGTCTCAGTGGTTCCATCAGGAAAAGCCATATTTTTGATGGATCAATTATCCATATAGGCTAGGGAAAAATTAACGTAAATAGGAAAAAAAATGTTCATTTTGAAACTCTGTATTTGGCCTATGTTCAACTGCAGTAGCCAGTAATCACATATTTCTAGATTTCCTTTGGTGAGCCCAAGCTTGCCTAGTCCAGAGGCAGAGTGATGTCAAGGAGCTCAGACAGGCAGATGGTCCAGCTCATCCAACTGCAAGTTCAGTATTCCTTGGGTGCAGTTTTATAAATTGCTAGGCCAGGCAGAGGAAGAATCAAGACGTTTTTTCTGCTTTTCCTGCCGACCCGGTAATCACCTCCAAATTACCGGTACCTCTGGCTGAATCTGGTTTGGCTCCAGAATTCTGGAATGTGGACCAGAATCACGGCGGGTGAAGCCCAGAGGGTCTGGCTAGAGTCTGGTGCCCCAGGCCTGCTGGTCTTCCTCCTTGCTGGATCTCATCAGAGAATATACACCCCATGGTTTGCAGGGAGTACGCTCCCTGGGCACAGAATGCAGGAGAAGTGAGCTGAGCAGGGGCAGGGGGGCCTGGGTGAAAGCAAGAGCTCGGGTGGATCTGAGCACACATTGGCAGCAGAGAGGATATTGAGCACCAGGCGTGGTCGTTCCAGACAGGTCAGTGCAGGAAGGGTGCTGTTAGGTCCTGCCCCAGGCAGAGGTTCCGTCCTTCGGACTTTTCCTCCCTGTTCAGTAAAATAAAAATGAAAAATATAATAATATTGATGATTCAGTGTCAAATTCTAGGCAATAATATCTTATTGGGTCTGATTAGCAACATTTGAAATCAACAACTGCAAGATCTAGAAGGCATCTGAGGGATCACCTGGTCCAGTCTCTTCCTATTTCAGGGGCAGAAACAGGCCCAGAGAGGTTAAGTCACTTGCCTAGGGTTGCACAGCAGGTCAGTGCACAAAGACCCCAGGACTTACTGCTTGGTCCTACGTACTTTACTCTGTATTCTCACTTAGTTGGGGGTTTCACGTGTAGTGCTGGCAGCTGCTGAAAGGCAATTCTGTCCTGAATTCCATCCTGCCCTTGGAGAGCATATGACGTTAGGTTCACCAAAGAGGCAGTGGCTGTGTGCCTCGGAGTCAATGCCGACTCATAGCT